CCCCCCCCCGAAATGGGAGCCCTGCCAGGGAGGGCGGGACATTGGTTCCCTAGGGAACTGCAAGGCACATGGAGACGGTCAGAGACTACTTAATGAATGAATGGATGGGTGAGTGAGAGTGAATGCGAACACCAGGCCCACAGCAAACGCTCACAGACAGGTGCCCCGCTATTCTCATTGCCTTCCTGTGCAGTCGGAAAACAGAAACTCGAGCATCAGCGGGGAAATGCCAAGATGAGGATGTTGAAGCGAGTCACGGAAGGACAAACGTGACCTAGGCAGGGAGCCCACGCCACCTGGAGGGGGCACTGTGGGGAGGGCGGGCCCCGTCTGGAGCTCGATAGGAGACAGCAGAAGTGTCAGCGGGTGGCGAGACCTGCCTGCAGGCAGGTGCGCCTCACGGACACCTCTGGGGTGGCCCCGTGAACCCATGGGGATTCTGCAGCTCCTATGCTACAGGGGAGCTGGGAGGAGGCTGGGACTTGACGCCACATGCTCTAGACAACCAGGTAATCCTTCCCGATGCCTGGCACTGAGACTGGCACAGGACAGCCCAAGGGGAGGGGTGCTCCCGTATTCCCGTTTTACAGGTGAAGACACTGAGGCCCAGAGAGGTAGATTGGCTGCCCCAGGTCACACAGGCCACTCAGCTGAGCCCTCCTGAGGCACGAGACCCTGTCCGGTTCTCCACGCACACAGGCTCCCTCAACCCGGGCCCTCCAGGCCTTCCATGGCTTGGAGTTCCTGCTTTCCAGCCCCTCCTCCTGCTATGTCAGCGTTGACACTTCCCTGGCCACCCCCGACCCCAGATTCCTGAGTCCTCTGCAGGGCTGAGGCGGCTGTGCACTCATCTGCGGACTCGGGGGCAGGGGCGAGTCTGCTTCTCCTCTGGAACCTGGTGCCCAGCACAGAGTGGGCACCGCTGGAAGTTGCTCATGGCTGTGCCTGTGGGTATAACCGCGTACCAGGCAGCATGGCCCTCAGTGCTCTCAAGCCCAGGGTTGCACCTGGGACAGGTGGTGGACCGAGGGGAGGCCATGATCAGTCTCAGGCCACCCTCCAGGGCCCCGGGCATGAATCCCTGCTGGGTTCACCTGCAGAGAGAGCACTCCCAGTGGTTAGTGCCCAGACTGCAGGTCCCAGCTTAGTACGGTCCTTTCAAGAGGGCCTGCATGTGAAGTGACTTAATCCCCCGGGCCGCGGTTTCCCCACCTGAAAAGGGGGAAGAGAGTAGGTTGCATGAGCATCGAGTGACTTTAAGTGTCCGGCACATGCCAAGTGCTTCAAGCATGCCGCGGGTGTAACCGTTGTCATTCTCTCGGCCCCTTGACCTCCGCCCTGAGCCAGGTAGCAGCCCCAGGGAGCTCCCAGCCTGATCAGCTCGGGCCTCCTCGGGGACAGCATGGAGGAACACGTTTTCTGTAAGTTCATCTCTGTCCTGAATTTGCCTCTTTCCGACTTGGAAAAGGCCCAGGCCTGACCTTGCTGACCGTGTGGTCTGTGGTGCTCTCAGAAGTTTCTAACTGACCCTCTCCTCGCTCTGGGCACACAGCCTGGCATTTTTGGGTCTCTCTCCCTGAGGCTGCCCTGGGACTCCCTAAACCACTTTATAATAATCGTGCCCCTTCGCGAGCACCTGCCTGCCAGGCGCCCAACACGCATGGCCTCATTCAACCCTTAACAGTCCTGTGAAGACTTGAGGGGTGAAACTCACGTCTGCCCACAGACGGGGTCAAAGCCACGTCTCTAACCACTGCACAATCCGACTTCTCCCCACTCTTTACCAAGAGCTTCACTCCCCTTCCACTGAATTCATCCCCGGGGCAGGTCCCTGAGACTTTCCTTTTCCATAAGTCTCCAATCTGGGGACTCTTCCCTGGGATCGAAGGGCTAGTTTCCTAACGTGTTCAGAGACTCCTTCCCAAGCCCCTTCTCTGGTCTCCAAACCCAGCTGGCATTCGGGCGGGGCTGCATGGTGGAGAAGTGTTCTCCATCGTCCCCCACCTCGGGTCTCCGTGTTGTGGACAGTGATGGCGGGGTGCAGGCAATGGCTTTGCGGTCCCAGATTTCAAATGCAAGCAAAGCTGGTTGGGAGGGTGGAGCTGCCCAGCAGGATCGGGCTGGTCCTCGCTGGCCCTGGAGCTGTGCGGGCAGGCGGGGATCGAAGGAGGCCAGGGCTGTCAGGTTACTTTTCCCCTCCTTTTTGGAAAAGGGGATCAAAGGTCAAAGCAAATCCTCCCCCTGCACACCTCCTTCCTTCTCTTCCTCCTCATTTTCTTTCTTTCTCTAGCAAGGAGAACGAACAAGAACGAACTACCCGAGACCGTTCCTTCCCAAGATCGAACGACCCTCACTGTGAGAGGCGTGTGTTGTCCTCACCACGTTGTTGCCCTGGCGCTGGTCTGTGTAGGCTGGGCATTGCACGGCACGGTGGCACAGACCCCTGCAAATAGCCCACGGAGGGCCAGAGGAGGGGACCGAGACACTGACGGGGAAATTCCACTCCAGAGGTTGCTCGAGGTGCTCTGACTTCCAGGTGGGTGCCCTTCATCCTCCAAACTGGCATTTCCAGTAAGTAGGATGGAATGAATGCATTGGTCCTAACAGCAGAAATGCAGCTTCAGATGTCCCCAACCTGCTGTGTCCAGCCTTTCCCTGGGCTGTGGCAAGTTTCAGGACCACAGTCCCAGTGACCACAATGTCCAGACGACACGCACAGATGGTTGAAGGCAGTCCGGTGGGAGGCAGTAGGGAGTGGTGGGGACTGTGGAGAACAGGAGAGCCCCAAGTTGCAACTCAGTGTCAATCCATCACCCTTATGAAAATGAAGGCCCAATGTGGCTGGGTTCAGGGGCAAGCCTGAACTCCAGGCATCTGATGTGAAATCTCTGATTCTTTTCTTTATATATATCATAGAAACTGAGGGTCATTTTTAATTTTTGCTGAGGGTGTAAGATGCTGAAATCCTGGATTCAGTAGTCAAGTTCCCAGGGCCAGCAGGTTGACCAGGTGACTAAGGAGCCCCTACATGGCTGACCATGGTTTGAGTCCCAGACCTGGCTTTTGCTTTCTCACTTTCTGTCTCTCTCTCTCTCTGTTTCTTTCTGGTCAAATTTAAAAATGATAATAAATAAAATTAATCCTTTAAAAAAAAATAGTCCAGTTCCCAGTGAATAGAAATACTATCTTTGTCTGAATCTTTCTCACTCTTCTCCTATTTCAGGTTCTTCTTTGTGAACCGAAGGTTACTTTTTCCAGTGGAGAACATCCCGTGGGTGGCTACGTGAAATCGCATGAAGCTTATGCATGTTGGCAGAATTGTCACCCTGCGGTCGCGAGGTCTTCCCATCCATTTAGACTTCTCTTATTTTGCACCCTTTGGGAAAATTGTTTCATTTTCTTCCAAGATTTCTTGATTTTTAAAAAATGATGGCAAAAGTCCAAGTGGCTGGTGTGGGCCAAGTAACACCCCCCTCCCCCGCGGGGCCCAGCTCACCCCCCCCTCCCCCCCCCCGGGGCCTGGGTTTGGCCCGGGCCTTCCTGTTGCCCCCTGAGACAGGCGGCCTCACCCGTGGGGGAGACTGAACACACTGTCATTCAAAGATAACCCTGTCCCAGGCGGGGAGATCTCCGGTTGGACGCTCAGAGCAGGCTGGCCGAGGAACTCTGGGGTGCTCGCTGCACGGCCACTCCGTGGGAAGCCCGGGAACCCGCTTCCTTCCCGCTCTGCCAGATAAGGCCGTCAGGCCAGGCACCCTGTCCAGGCTCCAGCCAGCTTGACCAGCACTTAAAATAACAATTAAAAACCATCTACTGGGTGGTCAGAAAAGTCATGATGCATTTTTGCATAGAAAAATATACCATGACTTTTCCAACAACCTAATATAGGCTTCATTTTTAAAAAGCAAAGCAAATTAAAAATAAATAAGAAAACACAGTTTGTGAGCTGAGGACTGTTTATTGAGCCCCTGAGCTCCAGGCACTGTTCAAGGGGCCAAAGACAGGCAAAGTTTCTGCTTAGAGGATCATTAAGCTTCGGGGGACCCAGACAGTGAGCTCAGGAACAGACGGGCAAATACAACAGGTGCATTCTGGTGATGAGGTGGGTGATGGGAGGAAGAGGCGCAGGAGCACTGCCCGGCACAGAGGCTTGGAGAGGGCCTCTGGGAGGAGGTGACATTTCGCTGAGATCAGAATGATGCGACCATAATAGCCATGGCGTCCTTTCCCACTGGCAACCCTGGCACCCAGGAGAACCACTATGACATTTGGGTGTATATCCTGCCAAACTTGTCCAACTGCTTACGTTTCTATGTTTATATGTTTTGTTCATTTATTTATGTTTTACATGTTTGCATTTCTCTAAAAAGGAAAAATAATAAGTGGCAGAGTGGGTTTTGTTCTTTTAGTCTTGCCACAGGGAAAACTCATAACAGAGAGAGAAAGTGAGAGAGCAACCCCCAGGGCAATGGCCACGCTGCAATCCCTTCTCCGTTCTCCTCGAAGATTTTGGGCATGCAAACGCAGGTACCCAGCATGTTTTTCAAGATGCTAGGTTTAGGATTCTGCACTGTGCAGTCAGCCACGTGGGCTCCGGTACCTTCCCCACCGCGCCACGAGCTGGCCCCAGCCATGGAGTGTCTCGTAACTGCCTTCTTTACTACTCGGAGCCTTATTCTCATCTGTAAATTGGGGCTGGTTTTAGTAGCCCCGCCTTGCGGAGATGAAAAACGGGATGATGGAGAGATTTACTTGGAAAATGGAACATGATTGATCCAAAGGTGAACAATTCTTGGTATTTTATTTTGTTTTATTGTGTTTTGTTTCTGCCCCACAAGGTGGGAGTTAGCATTTCCATTCCACAGGTGACATTTTAGAGGTCAGAGAGTTAAACGTCGAAGTCCAACATGTGAGCCAGCTCCGGAGAGGACAGGTCGTCCTCCCCAATCTCCCTACCCCCACCCCTGGCTCAACACAGTGAAACCTCAACCAGATAGAGCCCCTTCCTCCTGGGAGAGGAAGCTGAGGCTGAGGCTGAGCCCAGGGGCTTCTTGGTGGTGGTTTCCTCTCTACAACACTGTTTATTCTCGCGAACATCGCACTTATCTGATGTCACAGGTTTGGGAACCCAAACCACAGACATAAATACCCCGCGTTGTGTTTGAAGGACTGTGCAGCAAGATAAGTGCGCTTGCTGCTAGGCCGCGCTTGTTTTTGCAGACCGCGTGTGTTCTCGGCTTCAACCTGGTCAGCATGGCTGGTGGGAGCTGGCCCGCTGTCGCCACATCGCACAGAGGGTGCTCAGCACTCGCCTGCCCGGTGCTGTCCCAAACAGCCTGCAGGCACACAGGGAGCCCTCTGGCAGTGCACCCCGGAGGGTGTAGCAGGAAAGGCTGGTGGCCTGGGGAGCCTGGGGTGACACAGATACCTGCCATCTTTTGGCACATTCTGGTAAACCCGAAAATCCTGTTTGGTTTTCTTGTGCTTTTTGAGAAAGTCAAAAAGGCCCTGAAGCCTCTGTGTGATCTCAGTGACAGGAGGCCTGCAAAACCCTGCTTCCTGCTTCTACCTAGGCCCTCCCACGGCCAAAGGGATCCTGTTATAATCTCAGCCCCTCCTCTGCTCAAAACCCTCCCATGGCTCCCACTTCACCCAGGCTGGAAGCCACGCTCTCTGTGAGTGTGGCCTCCTCCATCTCTCACGCCTTACCCAGGCCTGTGCCAGGCCCCTCGCGGCCCCAGGACCTTTGCACTCGCTGTCCTCGGACTCCCAGTGTTGGAAGAGAAAGACAGATCCTTAAATGGGACTGGAAAGAGGTCAGAGAGGTAGGAGGAGGACCAGTGAATGCCAGAGAGCCGGAAGCCACAGATTCTCCCCCCCGTGACTCTGTGGCTCCTCCTACAAAAGGAATAAAATAGAGCCAGCCAATGGTGTGGTAGTTAAGGCACTGGATCTCACATGGCTAATGCTGTGGTTCGAGTCCTGGACCTGGTGGCTCGAAAAACACACCAGGTGCATACACATGCTCAAAACCCCAAGAGAAGACCAGAAAGGGCATCACAGCATGGCCATGCCCTCTGGAAGGTGGTGTCTCCCTTTGCCTCTCTGTTTCTAGTGAGTGCACTCACCCTACGACAAAATCTAGACAAAAATGGGGGGTTAGGGGGGTATAAGCTTGACTTTAGCTATGTGACTTGTGCCGATAGAAGGAGACGAAAAGTGAGTGTATCACTTTGAGACTGGGCTTTGAGGGGCCTTGCGTGTGTCCTCTCAGCCCCCATGCCCGAGCTGCAGCTATCAACAGATGAGGCAAGGAAGGTCCCCCAGTCCCAGGGAAAGGATGTGGGACAGGAGGGGCAGTGCAGGGCCACAGTGGCCCCGCCTAGCCGAGCCAGCTGACCCCAGGGGATGGGACCTGTGGGAGGGGTCCAGCAAGATCAACCAGACTGGCCCACCTATAGCCAACCCCAAATTCAAGAGAATAAGAGGCATGGCTGGGCTGTTGGTGGCACTCCTGT